TGATTGCGCATGATAAACCGAGTTAGCATTCATCGCTATTGCACCCGAGTTATCACACCAGATCGTTGGTGTCGTACCCGAGCCTTCACCTAAATCAGCAAGCACAACATTCACCCAGGTGACTTCTGTAGCCGCATCAACAATGCTTTTATACTCTGCCTCCATGGTTGAGAGAGAGACCGTTTTTTGTTTTCTTGACAGCCAGGACACCAAGCAATTACCAACGAACACACAGTGGCCAGACATTGACCGTCTGTCATCCCCATCGCCTCCCCAATTCGCATCTGCAAATGCCGTGATGGAAGAGTCAGACCCAGCAGGAGAAAACACTAAATTGTATTCCACTGTGCCCGCCAAGTATCGTAGAATCCTTTTAACCGCCATAAAATGTGACTCACGAGGGGCTTGCATATATTGCGCAACCTTGCTCACACTTAGAGCAACATCAGAGCGAGTATGGCATACGTATAGTAGGGAGCCAACTATACTTCAAAATTCATAAGCATCAGCCAGCGGATTGCCTTCATCCTTAGACAGTTTGTTGGCGACAACCATAAGCGAGGTGGTGGGGTTGGCTCGAGTCAGCTGTGCTCTCGCCAATAACTCGAGCACAAACTTCCTTTGACTTAAAACAATAGAGTCACCACACCGTTGAACCTCAATACCCAGAAAGTAAGAAAGGTCACCAAGGTCTTTGAGTGAGAATTGTTTGTTGAGTTCGCATATGACATGTTGAATGTAACTAACCGATTCACCAGTTAGTTAATATCGTCAACGTAAACGAGGATGAACGTACGAGAGCCTGCTTGATTATTGACAAACAAGGAATTGTCAGCTTTGGACTCTCGGAATCCAAGTGAAATTAAGCTGGTGCGAAGCTTGTCGTTCCAGTTACGTGGTGCTTGTCGTAAACCATAAAGTGCCTTCTGTAACTTGCACACAAGAGGCTTGCCATCAGGATTACACACCTCAAAGCCAGGCGGTTGCTTCATAAACACCTCTTCAGCCAGTCCACCATTGAGGAACGCGTTGTTGACATCAATTTGCCGAAGCGACCATTTCCTTGATACTGCTAAGGACAAGATGATATTGATTGTGGAGAAGCGAACAACAGGGCTGAAGGTTTCCTGAAAGTCTTGCCCTGGAACCTGGGAGTACCCCTTAGCAACTAGGCATGCCTTGTGTCTCTGCACAGTACCATCAGCGTTCCTCTTGATTTTAAACAGCCACTTGCAACCAACAGCAGACCTCCCTTCTAGGAGTTGAACCAGATTCCAGGTTCCATTTTGTTGCAGTGCATTGAGTTCATCATGGATAGCCGCAGTCCATTTTTCGGATTGAAACGCTTCGTGCACAGTTGTGGGAATTACTTCATCATAGTTGCTGATAAAGGTTTTAGGTTTGAAGACACCAGCCTTACTGCGTGTACACATCGGATGAGCATTAATTATTGTGTTCGATCGCAACAGCATGGTTGGCTCAGCTGCCGTGTGTTCAGGCACCTGAAATTCATGGCTCGCTCCCTCATTATAGACAGAACCTGTGGGAGTAGGCACAGATACTTGGGATGGTGAAGTGAACTGATCCTCGGTAGGCAGCATATTCGGAACAGCATGCACAGAGGAGTTCTGAGAGTGAGTAGAGACTGATGTACCCATGGGGAGAGCATACACACACGCAGAATCTCTAGGTATATGCATACGTAAATATTGTGGCTGTACCACTATATCCAATGGGGGCGACTGCTTTCGAGTTGGACCACGCGTGCATTGTAAGGATGCATAGGGAAACATTGACTCATCAAATTTTACATGACGAGATATATAGACTCGTCCATCTGCTGCAAGACATTGGTATCCCTTGTGCTTCGGGCTATACCCTTGGAAAACACACTCCTGGGATCGAAACATGAGTTTTTGCGATTGAAATGCACGCAAGTAGGGATAGAACCTGCATCCAAATACTTTCATGAAATTGTAGTCAGGCTGCCTATGAAATAGTTTTTCAAAAGGTGCAACACCTTGTAACACACGCGTAGGGAGACGATTAATAAGATAAACAGCATATGACCAGAATTTCAAGGGCAAAGTGGCTTGAGCTAAAAGCACAAGTGCCAGCTCGATCAGGTGTCGATGTTTTCGCTCTATAACGCCGTTCTGCTCAGAGGTATGGGGACAAGTCACACGATGAATGATTCCTTCTTTAGCCAGCAGACTGTTAAGTGGTCTATACTCACCACCCAGTCGCTTTGAATGGCTTTAATAGGAAGATTGAACTGTGTGGCAACCATGTTTTTAAACATCTGGAACGCAGTCAGGAGCTGTGACTTGTCCTTGAGTAGATACAACCAAGAGTGTCGAGTGCAAGCATCTACAAATGCAACATAGTACCTGAACCCATTCGAGGGTATAGGTGCAGGACTCTATAGATCAGAAAAAACAAGTTGAAACGGTTCAGAATACTCAGTCTTTGAGTGTTCAAAAGGTAGTTTGTGACTTTTCCCAATACAACAAGCCGAGCAAGTTTTATTGGCATTATTTGAGATGTTTATATGCAATTGATTACAAACAGATTTCAAAGTCTGAAAAGAGGGGTGCCATAGGCGTCTGTGCCATAGGTCATATGCTTCTGAAGTCGTAACAACATTAGCACTAGCCTGACCTGCAAACTGGCTCCTGTCACTAGCCATCTCAAACGAATAAAGACCACCATTTTGCTTCCCTCGAAGAAGGACACTACCAGTAACTTCATCCCGAACACAACAATCATTGGCATGAAATTCAAAGAAGATACGGTTGTCTCTAGTAAGCTTGGACACCGAAAACAAGTTTTTAGTTATCTTAGGCACATGTAAAATGTTTGATAGCAATAGTGCTTGAGATTGAGAGGATATTAAAGTATTACCAACAGACTCTACAGGAATGGATGCACCATTGCCAATAAAAATATTACATGATCCCCTATAATCAGAGGGTTGTGCAATATTGGTAGCATCTGGTGTTATATGGTGCATGGCACCAGAATCCACTACCCAGTGGTTGCGTGAAGAAGATATAGCATTGGCTTGAGGGAGTTCAGCAGTTCTTCCTTTACCATAGTCATCATATTGTGTGTTTTCCACAAAGTTGATGTCACCAGAACTGGTTTTACGTCGATGTGTGTCACTGCCATCACCAAGAAAGTATCGATCGAACCGGTACCAACACTGCTGAACCAAGTGACCAACCTTACCACATAGCTGCCACTGTAAGCGAGGGCGACCTCGACCACGACCTCCTGAGCGACCACCAGCATATGATTTCCGATTTAAATCTTGATTGAACCTCGAGTCAGAGGCAGCACAATTCACAGCCTGTGCTACATTGGCACTCATTGGAAGACTATCTGCTGAAAACTCAAAGCCAGCAAGTTGAGTTTCAGCATCAATCAACATGCTGCTCACAACGTCTAACGTGGGCTTCTCGCGCATGGTGGTTATGACCGCCATGAAGGACTGATATTCACGGGGCATCCCTTTGAGAATACTTACGATCTGCTCGACTGGGGCAACCGGGCTCCCACACGATTCAAGCGCATCACATACTTCTTTGACACGGGTAAGGTAGTTACGCATGCTGTCATCTCCTTTCTTGAGGGATTGCAATTTATACAGTAAGTTCATTACTGTTGTGGTAGAGCGGTTAGCAAAGAACTGAGTCACCTTATTCCATACAGCAGCTGTTGTCTCGGCACCAACGAATTGCGGTAGTAGCTGTGGACTGATGGTGGAGAGTAGCCAAGACGAAAGAGCATTGTCTTGAGCCATGAAGTCCTCAAAGTCTTCATTTGCAACAACCTCGCCATTCTGATCAACAACCATTTCTGGTGGTGCTGGCATTGAACCAGTCAGCAATCTTTCCAAGCGATGACTGCGAATTGTGAGTAACACTTGTTGTTTCCACAACAAGAAGTTCATTTCATCCAACACAACATTCACTCTCTTGTTAGTGAACATAACAGAGTGCATCAACGAGCCCCCTCCAGTGGTGGAGGAGATATTCGGGCTGTCAAGGGCCATCATTATAGCCAGAGTTTAGAAGCCAGGATCTTCAGCGAAAGATACCATGTAGAAATACTACAAGAAGCTGAAAATAGCAGAAAGTTTATTGAATAGTTTTCTGATGTTATCAACGTTTACAATGCTTGCTTTATATACACTCTACTTAGGTCACAACTTACACACACTCAGCATTAACTGCTGTAACCACTTAACCGTTTTGATAACAACTCTATAACAGCTGAAACCGTTTCTCAAATGCTTAATAACAATAGCCAACCTTGGTACACAACACGCCTATATCCAACAATATACAGCTCTCCATAGTTGTTATAGTCTTAACAGACTTTGTAACTACACATTAACAACCTCAACTAAACATTAACAACCTTAACTACTAGAAAAGTTCTAGAATCACTAAACAGCATGCACTAGAGCTCGAGCCACGTAAGAGCACTAACTCATTATGCTAACATTCCCTCTACTTTTTCTTCTTCTGTTCTTCTAACCTTGAACACACCATTATAGCAAGCTCTAAAACAAATTACAACTAATTTCTGACATTCAACCTTCTTGATGAAAAGATAAACAATTGAATCGAAAGTGTCGATGCTTCCTTCCGTTCACTTTGAATCGAAAGTGCCGATGCTTCTTTTCGTTCTTCTTGAATCGAAAGTGTCGATGCTTTCTTCCGTTCACTTTGAATCGAAAGTGTCGATGCTTCCTTTCGTTCTTCTTGAATCACCTTTATTTCTTTCTTCATTATCCTCTTTTACAAGGTTCCTTGACATACTTTTTTTCCCTAATCAAGAGTTAAAGTTGTCCACCTAGAATTCTTTGTAGAATCCATACAAACTCTTGTTTGAGCTAACAAAGCCCATGTTCCAGAATAGTAACAGTTAGATATCACGAAAAAAATCACGCCTAGTAACATCTAAATTGCAATGATCTTGATATGAGATAATCGAGCTTTACCATCATCAAGCATCCAACGCAGCACCGGAGCTCCTGCGGCATTCTTTCAGCATGTCCATGTAGAACTGGCATTTGTTAATGTCACTTCCATAGTTGGTCAGACTATCACTTAGAGCTTTGGATTGACCGCCACAAGCATCCGAGTTCACAAGATTATTCGTGTTTGGTGCGAGAGGAGCAGAGGCAGCTGGTTCTGATGAAGCAACAGTCTCGTGTTTGATGACACGAGGGCCAACAATGACATCAGCTGCCCTGTGAGCCATAGCAGTTCCAACACCCCATCCAATAGCATCTACGATTGCAGCACCAAATCCATTTCCCTTTTGCACAGGTGTCGGGGGAGGGGCATAACTAGCAGGCTTTAAAGGAGCATTGTTCGCTGGCACACGAGCAACAGGACGTGGGACTGACCTTCCTCCTGAGCTTCGGTGAGGCATCATTTGGAGATTGCAAATTATAGGAATTTGACTTTTTAAAGGCTTGAACGATAAACAAGAGAAAACAAATATCGCAGGCTTTTCACCTAACAGTGTCCGGGTAGTTGCATCCGGTACCCGAGGTGGCAGTGAAGGAAACGAGCAATCAACAGCTTGGCCGCAAGGTTTACGGGCATCTTCCTCGGTTGTAACTCTAACATGCTTTTCATCAATCAGTTTTTGGGCAGTTACATTCGGTGCATAAGAAGGCAGTGAAGGAAGCGAGCCATCAAGAGCTTGGCGGCAAGGTACTGTATGTGCATCTTCTTTACAAAGCAAGATTTCATTTTCCTCTTCCTCGTCCTCCGTATTCGTTAAATATAAAGGAAGGGGTAATGCGTCAGAAGCTTTGGCGGTGGAAACGGAAGCCAGCGGTAACCAAGGAGGAGGAGGACGAACTCAATGCAGCGACTGTGAATCAGCAGCAGCCATGAACACCGAAACTTCTTGCAACAAAAACGATCTCTTCAAGACTTATGGAGATTGATACCATGTTGAATAACTAGTGAAGAAACACAAAATACTTGTATATTGAATAGAGAATGAATGTAATACATGGTTTGCAACTCCTCTGCTGTTTATATATAGCTCTCCATAGTTGTTATAGTCTTAACAGACTTTGTAACTACACATTAACAACCTCAACTAAACATTAACAACCTTAACTGCTAGCAAACTTCTAGAATCACTAAACAATATGCACTAGAGCTCGAGCCACGTAGGAGCACTAACTCATTATGCTAACATTAATGAATATATTTTGCACGTAATATATGAATATGTAGACGTAGATCACAGTTATAATATATATGTATTTTTTTTATAATAACCAAAAAATTGTTCTATTTTCCTTTTCTTTTTTACCTTAGTTTTATTCTTCTTTCCTAAAAGAATTAAATCCTACGTTACAAGAAAAATATAAATATGTAGAAGTAAATCACAATTATAATAAGATGGTTTTGCCACGCTCGACAATTACCAATGATCATCTTTAACGATGAGTGACATTAATTTAATTTATAAAACTTTAAATGGTAAAGTAATTAATGCATAATTATAAATTATTTAAAAATCTAAACTTAAATTATTTAAAATAAAATATTAATTACATCATTTTTATAATCCTATTTTAAATAATAATTAGATCAAACATTAACTCCTAAATTAAAAAACTCTAATTTTTTTTATTTGCTTTGAAGTCATCGTTGTTGTTGCCGTCACCACCACTGCTACCATTGTAACACCCTTAACTAATATACGAGTCAAAGATGTTACATTAACCATATAAAAATAATTACTATTCAAAAACCTTAAAAATTTTGTTCCCTTTTAAAAAAATCGAATATAAAATTTAAAGAAGTAATTAGTAAAAATCATAATTTAATAAGAAAATGTCAAAACCAAAATCAGTCGAAGACTATAAGTATTTTGATAATATTTACTATTGCTGCCTATCATTTAAATACTATCATATTTCTAATAATAATAAGTATTATTTTACAAAACCATATGCCAAAATATTAATACTAGAGCCACTGACATATTTAAAATATATACATGTCACTATAAGTATAAAATATCAAAAAGTGATATCCTTACTGATTGAGATGATAGTTGATTCTAATGAGGTGATGCTGAAAAAAAAAAGACTCCTCACTCAGTAGATTTTTCTTTTCTTTTTCTTTTCCTGTAAAACAATCACACACTAATTATTTCATACTTAGTGAGGCATTAAGGAGTTTTAATTAAAATCAAACTATATAAAAAATATAGTATTTAAATTCAATAATAAATCATTATTAAAATAACAAAAAATGCATTTCCCAACACTGAATCCTCTACGATTGGAACCACTAGTCTCTGATCTACTCGGATATCGAAAACTAAAACCTCTACCCCTCTTGGACTGGAATGAATCTGAAGATGTCCCTGGTCTTTTAGCTGGCTGAACCCATTGCTATGCAAATTTCTTATTCTGAGCCTTTTCTAGCATTTTAGATCTGTTCACTGTCTCCTGGAAGATAGGCAGATTTAATGCCAACATAAATTCCTTTAATCTCGGGCGCAATCCTTCGATGAACCAATCACATATTTCTTTCTCATTAGGGTCCAACTCGGAAGCAAGCCAGTTACCTTGCTTCATATTAAAGAACTGTTTCTTCATCTCTCTATTAAACTAGGCACCAATATACTTGTTCTTAAACTCCTCCTAAAAGAACTGTCAAGTGACTTGCTCGAGAGGAATGTGCATTGAGGCATTCATCCACCAAATTCGAGCCTAACCTCGCAGCAATGACACAACTCCATCTAATTTCTCCGGGTCCAAACAGTGAAATCCATTTAGCATCACTTTCATGTCACCGAGCCATAAGTATGCGGCTACAAGACCCACATAACTTTCTCTTTTAAATTCTAGAGCTCCCAAACTCTTTAGTTCTTTTGCGATTGATACTTGGGAAACTGATGAAGCAGGCAGGAGAGGAGGCTGAAATAGAGCGATGATCGTCTCCAAGGTCTGGAAAAACGTCCCCTGATCCTGCACAGGCACTCCCTACTATGTCGGTGCCTCCTGCTGCTCTAGCTGAGCAGGGTGCTCGAGGTTCAACTCATTGCTACAACTAGTTGTCCCCTCTTGGATCCCCTGCTCGGTTGCTTGATACGAGCCTTCAATTTCTGACATCTATACGTTCACATTTTAAACTTACATTAGTAAGGAGTAACATCAACATCAATTCACAAAACCATTCCAAATCAGTGACATGAACATCCTAGTGGCATGTACAACTTTTAAAACACATTTAGACTTCGATTTAGGCCGAGAATCGGCTAAACCTGTAACACCCTTAACCTATATATGTACCTATATATGAGTCAAAGATGTTACATTAACCGTATAAAAATACTTACTATTCGAAAACTGTAAAAATTTTATTCCTTTTTAAAATTTCAAATCGAATATAAAATTTAAAGAAATAATTCGTAAAAATCATAATTTAATAAGAAAACGTCAAAATCAGTCGAAAACTATAAGTGTTTTGATAATATTTACTATTGTTGCCTATCATTTAAATATTATCATATTTCTAATAATAGTAAGTATTATTTTACAGAACCATATGCCAAAATATTAATACTAGAGCCACTGGCATATTTAAAATATATACATGTCACTACAAGTACAAAATATCAAAAAGTGATGTTCTTACTAATTGAGATGGTAGTTGATTCTAATGAGGTGATTCTGACAAAAAGACTCCTTACTCAGTAGCTTTTTCTTTTCCTTTCCTTATGTGTGAAACAATCACACACTAAGTATTTTATACTTAGTGAGACATTAGAGTTTTAATTAAAATCAAACTATATAAAAAATAGTATTTAAATTCAATAATAAAGAATTATTAAAATAAAAAAATGCATAAAATTAAACTAGTCAAAATAAATCACATGTAAAAAATATAAAGATAAATTTAACATCTAATAAAACACTAAATAATCACCAACTCGTATAACTTGTATTTTTCTTTATATTTAACCTATATAACTTATACTATTATTTCATTCAACTTGTTCTTTTCATTTAATTAAAATTATAGTCCAATGTATATTAACTGATAATATCCGGTACGTGAGTCACATCGAGCGTGCGCACTAATGCACATAAAAATGCCTCGTAGTCATATATAATTGCAGTAGAAAGTGCCATATAGTCATGTATGCACTCAAAAGTACCTCATATAATTGCACTCGAAAATGTCATGTAGTCATACATCATAGGTGCCATATACACATGTTACATATAATCGCTCCACCTCATGACATGCCATTTATACCTCATACTCTCAATATAAATACATTAGGCTTTTATTCAAATCATTTATCACCCCCATTTTCATTCATTCAAGTATACGAATAAAATAAAAATATATTAGAAAACAATATATTGGGTTGTTCAAGCCCAATAATATTTAAATGCTAATTAAACATTATAGAAAAAAATATTTTTAAAGCACGTTATAAAATTCTAAGGTAAACTATACCAGAGACCACTTAACTATAGCCCATTTTCATTTTAACCACCATTTTTTAAATTCTTGTCAATCAGGTCATCCAACTATTTAAACGCATTCAATCAGGCCACTTGCCATTAACGGATAGTGGGATCGACCATCGGATTTGGTTATGTATTAACAGATTCACAATTTGATTCTAAATCAACTCTGGATCTGATTGTTGTCTCATTCTTTCTCGAAGCATCTTTTACGTGAAGTCTCTGAGCTCTGACTTCGATTTTTGGGTCGTAATCCACTAATTCACACGGGTTTGTCCTAGTCATAAATCAAAAGAAAAAAAAATTAGTAATTTTGGTGAAATCCCCGGCAACGGTTTCAATTTGACAACTGTAGTTTTGATGTCAAAATAAATTCATTTTTTCCAATTAATAAATAAAGGAAATATGTTGTAAAGAGAAGTAAGGGTAGATCCACATTGACTTAGAAAATTCCTAAATTTCGGTTTGAATTACCTTGACTAGGCGTTATGCAGTAGATAAAAAGGGGGAATATTCGTAAAAATGATTAAATAATAAAAAAACGATTTAAAGTAAACATAAAGAAAATAAAGAATTTAAAGTTGAAAATGAATATGGTAAAAACAATCTCAAGCCTTGCTTTGACTCAATCTCCTTCGGATCATCGAATGTGCTTCAATAAGCCGATAATTCCTCCCACAAATTTAATCAGAACAACATCTTGACCAAAGTCAATCTTTGATTTTGAAAATTGTTTTTATTTTTTAAAATAAACGCATATATTGAGAGATATATTCCGAAGTTATTCAAGTGTTTTTCAATTCTCACGTTGGATTTAGTCATTGCTTAAGCTCTCAGCTTATGAGAAAATTAGCTAAGCATGACAAAAATCATACTTAGCGTGTTTAAAAATAAAACTTAAAATAAAATGAAA